CCACTTGCTAAAATGCCTCTCACCAGTGGCACCTACTTCATGCTCAAGCCCTGACTGAACATGTGTTTATATTCTGCCACCTTTACAAGCCCAAGGTGCTTTATCCCTTTGTGAGATGACTCAATCAACACCACCCAAAAAGGAGTGCCAGGAAGCCAGATCAGGCTGATCTGAAGGGTCAGAATTTGTCATCAGCAATTCCTTCTCCTGTGTAATCACTTCTTCTAAAGAAAATGGAAGTTAGGTGGAAACAGTACTATCAGGCTTCTCATAAAAAAGAAAAAGAAGTAAGGCGAGGTCATTTGCAGTGAGCGGTGTACATAAGAGCATCTTCAATACAATATAAGCTGTCCACATTAAAAGGCGCAATTTAATATTTACATATCCTAACTAGAAACTCATTTCCATTTATAGTCTCCATCATTACTTCCCACTCTTACCTGCTAAAAAACATACAGCCTCCTCTCCCCATCACCCTACTTCACACCAAAAGCCATTTTTGAGACTTCCAAAAATGAGTTTTTCCACAGAGCAGCAGAGCAAGGAGTCTGCACACATTCCCTTGAAGCACTCAACTGGCTGCAAGATGATTTTCCTACGCTTTGTCCTCATGACGGGTGCAATGAATATCAGTGGTGCCAGACAGAATCCATAAACCATCATGATTTGAGTAAAGGGTATAATCTAGTCTGGTATCAGGTCTTCAAAAGCATCCATTAGCAAGTCCCAAGGGAGGAGCTGAGAGCAGGCCAAGCCTGCAGTACAATACTTCACCTTTCAACACAGAGATTAGCTACATGAGGTAGTCAACACTTGAGTAACCCTCCACAAAAAGGTCCTTCTAAGTATGCATCCAGGACCTCCCTATATCAACAATTGCCTTGGTTCTATTACATTCTTCCACTATCTCTAGGAATCGCATCCTCTTGTGTGTTGTTTGTTAACTTGGTACATTCATTAACAACCACCAGCACTCATGCCGGAAGGGACAGTGAGCAGTTCATCCCAATCCAGTTTCTCTGGCCTGACACGACTGTCTGCGGGCCTGTTGTATCTCCTGTCAGCCACTGCTTTTGCATTTAAGAACCCTAGTTTGCCCTGCTGCTCCCTGCAAGGAAGCTCCTCCAGACCTCCATGTCCCTTCTAATCCTGAAACACTCTCACATGAGAGGACACTCTACCCACACAAAGCAGTAAGGGAAGGATGGACAATGGCTTTAGATAGTAGCATTGAAGCCCTCAGTTTCTTTCCTACAGATCCTAATGCTTCATCTGCTTTTCTTGACTAGTGCAATCTCTCCAGCTCAGTGCTGGAGTTCCTTCAGTTTCTTTCCTACAGATCCTAATGCTTCATCTGCTTTTCTTGACTAGTGCAATCTCTCCAGCTCAGTGCTGGGCAAGGACAGACAGCCTGTGATGACAATTCTTCCTCCTGAAAGGTCATGGCCAGCTCAGAGCCTGTCTTTTTAATTTGTGAAGCAAGGACAATCTTTCCCCACATGTATAGTCTCAATTGCTCGTGCAGACTTCCACCTCTAAGGTGACTGGTTGTAGTCAAGCTGCAAAAATTGAGGACCGAGGCAAGGAAGCCATGGGGAAAGCATTCAAGTATACAGGGACAAGTGTTCAGGTAACAACCTCCAATTTGGACAACGTGGTAACTATTAACTCTATTTCAGGCACATCTACTAAATCACAGGCAACGTAAGTGCATGGTGTGTGACCCAAAACACCCAAGCACCAGCTTCAAAACAGCATCAAACAAGACAGAGCAAAACCAGCAGGATGGAAAGACTTCATTTCACCCTCAACAAATGGACCTTCACCAGTCTCACAGTATTACCATGCTAAGTTACCTCAAGTTTGACTTCATCATCATTATTTGTATGACAGTAACCACCAAAATTTGATTAGCATGTTTATTCTAACACAAGTTACATGAGACCCGTCAAGAAATACATTGCAACTAGGTCTCCACATACCAGATTTTTTCACTTAGCTTGTCTACAAGACATACTTTGTCAAAACAACGTAATCAGACTAATTAAATGGTTACATCAGAGAATTGCATGTGATGTAAAAAACAGTTTTAAGAGCAAAGACTATACAGAGAGCATATTACTCAATTAGAGCCCAGCACAGATCATTCAGAAAGTGACAGGAAGAAGTTTTCTCCAACAGAAGTATACAGCCTCATTAGTATACATTTTACATTAATGCACATAATTATTAAAAAATAGAAAAACGTTATCTTCAAATATTACTTGGCTAGCCACTATACCTATAAGGTAAAATGATGAATGGACTAACTCTGCTTAGGAGGTGAAAAACAGTTAAGTCTCTAGAATTAACTAGAGCCCAATTCAGCAAACTATTTACGAATGTGCTTAAGTCCTACTGACACTAGTGAGGGCTTACACATACTGAATTATTATAATTAACATGAAGAGATTTTTGCATGCATCAACAGTTAAGCACATGCTAAATAATTCCACTGAATCAGGACCATATTCCTTGAAGTACAACAAAGCTATTTATACACTATAAAAGTCATGATCTTTCTCCCTCAGTCTATTGTCTGATCAGAAAAAAAAGAGCCTCTACTGGGTATGAGAAAAACTGATACAGTCCCCTGGAGAAGCGTGGCTTTTCATCTTTTATTAACTCCAAAAGCATGCACAAGTCAGTGCTAGGGAGAAGCCATTGTAACTGTATTTTCAATCTTCAGTCTTTCAAAAACAACAGAATTCACTATTTTGCACCAGTACAGTATGCAGTTTGCAAGTTCATAATCTAGAAGCTTGTTTCTTCAGTTCATTCCCCAAGCCATCAACAGATTTTCAGAATTACACAGCTGTACAACAATGCGAGTGACTATATACAATCCTGCACAAAATACTAGAAGAAAGCTACAAAGTTACATAAATAAACATTCAAAAAATATTTGCTTTCTCTTGCACTTAAGTGTTACTAAAAACACAACAAAAAATCTCCACAATGTTGACACATATCAGCTCTCTCTAAATAAAACTATTTCCTGTAAATTTGTCCTTGTCCAGAAGTTATCTGTACGGTTGCATAAATAAAATCAGTCTTGCCGTAGCTATGAAATCCAGATATCCCAGCAAACATTCCTCATACTTAGGAATGAAACATTCCCGCTTGCTCAGAGGAATTTGCTTGTTGGGTTTTGGTTGTTGGGATTATTGTTTGTAATTCTTATATAACCCACTATATGATAGTGAACAAAATACTTTTGTTTCATAGAAACAACTAACATTTGCCCACATCATGGTGGGCAAATGGTCTATTTACAGATACATTAGGACTGCCTGACTGACAGTGAGTGTGAGTTGCTGAACTCCAAGAAACATGGAGCTTAAAACGGCGACACTCTCTGCTGAATCGCCTTCCCTTTTAGGATACGTCTTATCTGTAGGAGAGAAAAAGACAAAAAGATTAGCATTGATCATCCTAAAGTGAGTCACAATCTGAAAAAAAAAAAAACAAAGAAGAAAACCACAAAAAAACCAAACAAACGAAACCCATTAAAGTCAGTTCCACATTCCTCATTTATCTGAGTCTAGGTTCTGAGTTTAGTTACACCAGAACTGATCCAATTTTACAGCTTTTGAACCAATATAAGGCAAAAGAATTACTCAATTGTTTAAGCTTTTTTGGGTCAAGAGCTGCCTTGTATTGTACACTTTCTAGGACAAAGGAAGGTTTTTCGTCTGTTACTCAAGCCTAAGAACTGCCATTACTAATTATGACAAGAGCAACAAAAGCATGATCTCAGGACACACAGAGACAAACAAGAGAAGGGGATATATTGCCTCCAGTATGTTACAAGGTTATAAAGAAAAACTCTACCTTGACAGGAAAAAGCTTTTGAGATGGAAAACGTAAAAGCTGTAAGTGAAGCCTGTGATTGCAGGTCTTTGTATATTCTGCCTGATCCAGACATTAAAACGAAGAAAATGGCATTTGCTATCTTTTTTTCCTTAGAAGCTGCAGCTCAAAACCCAAAACGAGACTTCTGATAAGGAATAAGGCTTTTGTGTAGATGGGGACAGATGGAAGCAGAGGTAAGTCATTTGGATTTGTTGGGTTTTTTTACCTGTTCTCCTATAAGGCCATCAGGAACCAGATGAACTGGCTGCTCATTCTCCAAGTTTCTGGCACTTGGATCTGCTCCCTTCCGCATCAGCAGGCGCACAGCATCCAACTGACTCACCCGATACTGCAGGCTGGCAGCCACATGGAGGGCTGTGTTGCCATTGTAAGCCTGGAGAAGAAAAAGGTAACTCCATGACGGAAAGGCAGGGGCACAAGTCTTGGGACATTCATGGTGCCACACTCCAGATTACAGCTGCATTCCAGAAAAAAAAAAATCACCGTACCTTTGCGTTAACAAAAGAGAGACAGTTGGGCAGCTCCAAAAAGAGACGAATGAGCTCCAGGTTTGCTTCTTCTGCTGCCAAATGTAAAGCTGAGCGACCACTTTTACGATCCTATCAAAAAAGAAATTGTTAAGTCTTCCCTACAGGTGCTTCACCTATCCAAGGTGAACATGCAGACAAATGAAAAAGAAAGCAAAGTAACTGTAGAGCATTGAACAAACATATTTGCACTACAGTTAACTGAAAGTCAATCTGAATATGTAATTTAACATGAATATCTAAAGAAATAGCCCAGATCTCACTTGGCACTAAGTTTACATAGCCAAAATATCAAATGTTATATCAAGTAATGGTCTGGCCCAGCACAGACCAAAAACTGGACAGGCAAGCAGTTTTTAACTAAGATTGCAGTTCAAGAACAAGGTATCACCAGCACTCTATTACTACAGATACTTCAGAGTGCTCCAAATATCATTCCATATTCTTTCTTTTAAGATACAACCAATTGCAGCCAGCAGAGTATCATTCTTAATCCAGAAATTAGACTGTCACCTCCCTCTTTCCTCAGAGTTCATTTGCATTGATAATACCTTCCTCTAAGTGCAACATTCTCATTCTACTCAGCTAAATTAAGCTGTAGGGAAGCTTTCAAATTAGTCTACAACCTTTCTAATAAAGCTGAAATATGGCATGGGAGAAAGCGATATGTTCCCCTTCCACATTTTCTCTGGATCTGGCACTTCAGACAAAAAAATTTTACTTACTTTCGCTTCAACAGATGCTCCCATTTGTATCAGAGCCTTGATGGTTTCTACTAGGCTCTTGTTTCTCAGCAGAAGCTCCTGGACCTCAGGGGAGTGAGGTGGCTGACTGTTTTGAAGCTCATGCAGCACAGCATTATGAGCCACAACAGCACAGTGCAAGGCTGTCAAACCTTAGCATTAAAAAAAAATAAGTTATAATTAACTAACAAATTCCGTACAGAAGTATTGACTGGCTGCTTGTTTCAAATGATAGTTAAAGGAGCTTCTACAAGTGACAGTGATGGCTTGAGATTTGGGTTCTCTGTCATCAGAGGAATAAAATAGCAACTTACTATGAGCACTCAGCTAGCAGATAATGAAATAATCAATTTCTAATATATTTCTCTAGAAAATGTACACTAGACACAGCTGTTCTCTATCCAGTGATGTATTGCTGGCACTCAATTATAGCAAACCATAGACAATTGCTACCTACACTCTCTATGCCAAACATGGCAATCCCATGTAAGAGCAAAGAGGTCCTGACAGGCACAGATTGACCATGTTTCTATCTGACAGATATGCCAACTGTAACATCATTTCAACTGTAACTGTAAATTTTAACCTGGCAAAGATATGCTCCATCTTATGGCTTCTCAACCCAGGATAACATTCATACAAGCAGCTATAAAACACTGTAACATCCAGTAATTCCGTAAATTATAAACTCTTAACTACTCACCATCATAGTTGGTTGCCTCAAGGTCCACATACTGATTGCTTCCCATGGCACCCTTTTGGATTGCCTACAAAAGTGGGAACAGGTATGCATTTAGGTCTTAACCAAACCACATACTGCTTCCTCAAGCTTGTATACAGTCTTACTGCAACAAAGTTGCAATGAAAAATGGCATTAAGAAGAGACTTATTTTTCTCGTAGGAGGATTCCACCAAACCACTCTAAAATCTTGGTGAGAACCTTCATGTGAAATTCAGTCTCACTTGACGCAATTACTGTAAAGCCCCCAAGACATACTCACAAAGCTACGCAGAGAGAAAGATAAAGGGAGGCGTGGTGTTTTCAGAGTTTCCCAGGACAACTAATATGAAGTCAGAGCTATGCCTGCCTGGTTCTTACCTGAAGGACCTGGGCATGCCCCTTCTCAGCGCAAACATGCAACGGCGTTCTACCCCAGCAGTCTGTGGTGTTGACTTGAGCCCCCAAGCTAACCAGGTCCTGCACAATGAGATGCTGATTGGCAGCCACAGCAACCTGGAAAGCGCTCTGCAAACATTGAGGAGAAAATTTAAACTGTTAGTCATCTGATCTCTACCAGGAAAGAACGACTAAAACAAATAAAAAGCCTAGCTGCCTGGTGTTATTTAAGCAGTGATTAAGAATACCAGGAAGCTAGGACAAATACAGCAGAGCATATAGTTTTACCAGCTCAAGGTGATTCCAAGAAGTATTAATAGCTCAAGGTTAATATTAGTATGCAGGCTAAATCTCAGGGTTAATATTAAATAAACACTTCACCACATCTTCCTCAAGGTCCAGACATACAGAAGCACTCAGGTGTGCAAAGCAGGTGCAGAGATCCCAAGAACCTCACCTGGCCATTGTGCTCTTTAATATCCAGCATGTGCAGAGCAGCCATCTTCCTTGCAAGAACATAGGAAAGTGCTCTTCGACCCTGGGCAACAGCAATGTGAAGGAAGCTGTGGGCAAGAGGGGAAAAACAGAGTTACACCACCACACAAACTAGGGCTCACGTCATCACAGAGGTCTAAAAGTAAGGGAGGGGTATTGTGCTGCCAAGTTCAGACCTCTTCTGCATAACTAAGGCAAGGACACAGGTACCTTCTTCTCAGGGCAATTTAAAGCATCTAAATCTGAATCATTTTCTCCCCATTTACTAGATAGAAGTCTAACAGGTACCTGAAATTAGACAATACAAATACCTTACCTACCCAACGTGTTGCAACTCTGCACAACGCAGCCCACCAGCGAGACCATACTTCACTTTAGCAAAACTACTGCACTCATGACACAAACACTGCTCACCAATTGCTTCCATTACAACCCCACGGTCCACCAAAACCCAACATTCCTCAACCTTCCACATCAGAAGCATCAAAACAAACTGCACTCACGTGTCTCCATCTGAGTCTTTTGCAAGGAACTGATCCTGAGAGATGTTAGCCAGTTTGTTTTCCTCCTGCTCCACTTGCCATTGAAAAAATGACTTCCCCAGCTGCGTCGTGCTTCTGGCGATGTTTTGGTCAGGTAGAGAGACATTCAAAGTAGCCAAAGAGACACTGCGCTCCAGACTACCACAGACGTTATTGGAAAGCAAGCTGAAGTTTGGAGCGTGGGGGCCAACATCAGGCTGTGGGTGGGTGCTGGCCAGCGTCTGGAGGGGAGCAGAGATGCCCTCTGAGCCTTCAGAGTCGTTCAAGAGGGACGAGAAGCTCTGTGACGGGCAGTACTGCAGTTCGTGGCTCTCAAAGGTATTCTGCTGGTAGCCAGGAGACTGGCCATTGGCAGCAAACGGCCTGTACTCCAGGGAGGCATCCGAAGGATAGCTCTGTGACAAATCTTGGTTCTGGGACGGGGGGAACTGGTAATGCTGCGGCAGATCAAGCATATGCTGGGAGGCATGATCCTGGAACACCTGGTACTTCTGGGATGGGGAGAAAGCCTGTGCTCCCGGGCTGTCCTGGTACTGCTCACCGGGCGAGCTGTGACTGGAGACAGTGTGCAGCCAGCTAACCTGCACCGTGTTCAGAGAAATGGGGCTTGATTCGTTCTTGATGTTTATAATGTTCTGAAGCAGATCAGAATTGCTGTCATGCTTCAGGTCGTTTTTATGTGTCTCTTCCATGTTATCCATAGAAGTTGGTGTCTGGGGTGGTGTCTGTGAGGGAAAGAAAAATTAAAAAAATATCAAAACAAGCCCTAGAAAGTTAGGGGTATAAGTTGTATCTGGTGGTCTCTGATCACACACAGCAAACCGAAAAACGAAGATGCAGAAAAAATTACAAGCTTACCAGGAGGTGCGGGTGAACATTAGCTTGGCGTTTGAAAGAAGGTCCATCAGAAAGAAGCTCGGGAGCCTTTCTTTTGCCACTGTGACCTAGTATGCTCTTCAGCTCTGCTCAAAAGAAAATAAATTTAAAGTCCATTTGGAAGTCTACTCTTGCAATCACTTCTAAAACTTTGTTAGAGGATATTTTAAAAAGAGGTGGTTTTTACCTGTGTATTGCTCGTAGTTCACCAATCCTCCTTGTGCCTTTTGGAAAAAATCCAGATTATTCCATTATTATAATGTTACTTCACACAGACACACACAAAAAAAGCACAAAACCAAGAAGAGAGCAGCAGCAACATGCTTCTGTAAACATAGAATACACCTTAGAATAATTCTAGTACATGATTGCCTAACTCTAATTTAATTGCTTTTAATTAAGGCTAGAAAATGGAAAGACTTTTATGAAACTTTAATGAAAACCACCATTTTTCTTAAGGCTTCTTAAGCTATTTGTTACAATACCACAAAACTCAAGAAAATATAGAGAAAGATACTGCTCCTTACTGAGGTCTGAGGATTTTCTTGTTTTAAAACATAAGCCAGCCAACTTTATACTTCTTTAACGCCTTGAACTTCTCTGGGCAAAAAATTTCCTGTGACAACACTTATCTAAGAGGCTCGCAAATACATGGTCAGAAAGACTATCAAAGAAAAAATAAAAAATTCCCTTTAAGCTTCTCAGAATTTCCTGTATTTTCTGTTTCTGTCTTTTCAGGCTGGAAAGGTCTGCCTTTATACAGCATGCTCTGCATGGAGGAGGGGAATAGCGTGACAAGAGAAGGTTCCCCAGCTCTTACAAGGAATGACCTCATTAGAGTGAACAGGGAGTTTCTGTGGTTTCTTAACACAAATGTATCTTTATCCAAACTCCCTTTAGAAAACAAAGCTTAGTAAGGGCATTTTTTAGCGCCTCCTTCTCCCGCAGCAAACTTTCTCACTAATTCCTTTCCAGCTCTGTTCTTCCATTACGTATTGAAAAGGAAAAACACTGGCTGCATCTGCATCAGATAAAACAGCAAGCTCATTTCCAGCCTTATCGCATGCCTCTCTTTTTTTTTTCTTGTCAGCTTCAGTAACAATTAAAAACAATTATGTCAGCGCCGAAAAATTCTGGTTACCTTGCCTTCCTCTGCGGCGGAGCCCGAGGACATCTGTTTGCTGCTCCTGAAGTGCAGCAAGAGCTCCTTCACCGAGTTCTTCACACGGACCCCCTGGAAAGGTCCTCGGTGCTGCTTTCCCCCCGCCATGTGTTGTTCAACTGTTGGGACAGAAAAATAAAACCCGAATTTAAGCCGCCGGCTCCGTTTTCACTTTCAAAATAAGGAATGAACGAGTAACAGCCGGGACGCGACGGGAAAATCGCCCAAACCCCCGGTTTAGCAGAGAACCGTCGAGGCAATGCCCCGCGCTGGGCTGGAAGGGACCTGTAAAGGTCATCTA